TATTTTTTCTTGGGGGGGGGGGGAAGGGGAAGCTATTACAACTTTTTATGTGATCAGATCACATCAATAATTTGAACAAAATTTACTACTTAAATCAGGGTTGTTGTGCTTAGTTGTTTTTCAGGGGAGGTTGTCTTTTTTTTTTGTCGGAGGTTGTTATTGTTGATGTTTTGGTTTTTTCCCCCCGTTTCTGTGTGAGTGTGTGTGTCACCCCCCCCTTCTTTTTTTAACTCAGTGTGGTGGGGAGCTGATTTCTTGTGGAAAAGAGGCTTAAGTGCTCATGCCCCCTTCCATGCCCTACTTTTTCCCATAATTCTCAAACTGTTGATCAGTTCCAGACCAATGTAACAACTTGGAAGATGTTCATTAATAACAGATTTTGTGCTAACAAGAAGCAACAGAGGGAGGGAAAAAAAAAACCACAGGGCCCACACAAAGACAGATGTATCCCTATACAGTATCAATGCCAAGCAGCAATCAGCCAACCCTGAACAGAAAAGACTGTGTATGTACTGTCACCTACCCAGTCACAAAGTCACAGGACTTGGCAGATCATTTAAGTGAATGCCACTGTATCTCCGTTTTCATAGGAGTTCTCTCTTTTACTTATCTCATGTATGTTATGCAGCTTTTTCATTATACATAAACAATCTTACCTTACTTGGTACAGGGTGTGTACTTGATCTTCCATCAGATGATTTTGATGTGGGGCACAGGCTATCACTTGGAACTGGAGCCACCTAAGAAGTTTCAGATAAACATTTCTTAAAAATGTACTGAATTTTATAATAATACCATCTAACAAGAAACAAGGCTACCATCCTCACTCACAGAGCACATAAACTGTGACACCATGATGCTGTGTTAGGAAGTCTATGACAACTACTTCTGAATTCAAGCTTTCATTGGGGTACTCAATGCATCTTGGGTGCAGAGAATTTTCTTTCAAGCCACAAACATGACAGAGACTAATCAAATGCAACTGGTTGGATTTCATTCATTTAATTTACAACTTAATTATATATTCCTTTAATATTACTGTCATTGCCCTCAGGTAGTTTAATAGTTTCATATATTTAGTTTTAAATACATAAGTTTTCAGAACAGCTTTAAAGATTTTAATGAAACCAATTCTAGTTATATTAAAATTAGAAGTATGCCAAAAAAAATACATACAGCTGAAAGTGTTATCAAACCACAGTAAAAATAAGAAAATAAGCAATAGTGTTTAGTGTCATTTATCTGGGTTCACTCTGTGTTACTATGCTGTAGTAGAATATTAGTCAAGAGTACGAGGGTGGCATTAAAAATAACAGAATAGTCAATCTTTATTTTTCAACATTTTTTCTTGTACGTTATGTTGAAGTCATAATTTAATAAAGACTTGAAACATATACTACAACAATAGTTAAGTATTCTTTACTTTTCAACACTGAAATGAAAGTAAAGAATTATGAAAAAAGAAATTACATGTTAACACTACTTACTTCTCCATTGTCTGAAATATTTTTCTGCTGACATTTTCGAACAACCTCCAATAACAGGGGACCACCCACAGTACCTCCTTCTTCTGTAATTCCCAAATCTCGAGCTAAGTTTTCTCGACCATCAAGGCCATTTAGCTGGGGGAAAACAAAAATCACAGCACTGAAATAACTGTCAGAAAACACTACATATATATTGTAATGTAACTCCTACAGCTTTTTGATCCTATTTAACACAGCAATATTTTGACTAAACAGTGAGTAAGGGTTCCTGTTGCATGTATATTCAGTTAATGAGAGTCTCTTGCACCATTTACTTCTGATCTGTACCTGAACTTATTACCATCCAAAGTTGTTTTAAATATGAAAATTTTTGTTGTTACCAGGCATCAGGATTTATATGGTCAAGTTTAGCCTATTGCCTTCAAAAGTGGATCCTAGGACACCTAGCCAGTTGTTCCAGTAAATTCATAGATGACAGAGTCTCCATTCCTGTGCATATAAAAGTACACTGGCATAGGTCAACGCTTACTTTCAGTCTGTTTCACTTTAAAAAAAACATGGGTTTAGGCAGAAGCAGGGACGAAAGTAATCCAGTATCAACCAAATAAAAAAGAAAAGAAGACAGGAAAAAAAATACACTTTTGAAAACTGTAATTCACATTACAGCAGAAGCAGAATGCTGCAGCAAATCCAGGGGGGTTGGCATGACCTCAGAATGGCAATAATGCAAGGGTCACCAGTTCATTTTAAATTCTTACAATGACTTAGTGATGCTTCCTAGCACAACACTGAGCAAGCAAATACTGAAGTAAGCCACCACTAGTCAACATGGAGGATAGAAAGACAACACAAAAGACTTCTCAGAAATAGGGAGTACTAGAGGAAGACAAAGGAAAATCTATCAGCACTATGCACAGCGTTCTTGGCCAACTTGCTTAACCTTGGCCAAGTTTTATATATGCACTGCATTAGGTGAAAAAGATGCTTCTACTGGAAAAAGGAAGGGGGCGTTTCAAAAGAGCATGAGATGCCTTTACAATGCACATGAAGCACTGCTCCTAAAAGTGAGTGACAACATGACAGAAAGCATGACTGTTTGTTTGCTAGCACAAACATGAATCTTTGTACAGATGTGTCCTTGTGTTATAAATGCATCTAAGGATGTTTGACAAAGAACAAGGGTGTATGGGATTTTCTTTGAAAAAACACCTAAAAAGAAACATGAATTCCTGAGAAACAGAAGGCAGTTAATTTACTTAGGAGCTGGATTTTTAATAAATTAACCTCTGATATATTTAAACTGACATTAAGAATAAAAATTAGTATAAAGTATAAAGAGAAATTCTTCAGTTAAATGGAAATGTTTCAAACCCAAATGTATTATTAAAACATTTATCTCATAAATAGAGACAGAGGGACAAATATGATGAAAAACCTCTAGCTCAATATCAAAAGCCTAAAAGCAATCAATTGGGCTACATAATCCTTTCCAACTGAACTATTCAATCACTTTGTCACATACATCTGCACAAAGCCCTTTGTTTCACTGAAATTTCTCTCAGAGTAGATTACTAACATAATTTTCATGTAACAATACTAACTTAGTATCATGACATAGTAAAACTATTGGCAAAAAATGTTGCAAGGGTATTCTGTTGAATATTTTTTTTTAAATCATAGAATAGTAATTTGCTAATTCAAAATTAACCTATCAAGCACTGATCTCTGATAAAGTGAATACTCCCTCATATAACCACACTTTCCTGGAATACATGTCTTTATGGCATACAAATGGCATAGCATACAAATAAAACCAGTATATCTTACTGTGCTTGATTCAGGCTGGAAAACAGCCAATGTAAAATCAAGATTGAAAAAATGTAGAAATTCTGCAACAAGACCTGCTACCAAACGACCTAAAAAGGAAATGAGAAGAGTAAAGACACACCAGATAGAAACAATTCTTATTTCAAAGATTTAACATTAACATGGCTTCAGTACTGAAGTACACTGATTCAACACTCCTACAAATATCATTTAGACATTCAGCAAACTACCACCACATAGTTAATTTGCATACCAATTCCATAATCTCTAACTCAGTCATCATATCAGTTATTTATCTCAGCAATACTGCAGGAGCATAAATTGTGACTGCTTATAAAATTCAGGTATAAGATTTTTATTGTTTTTTTTACTATTCAGTTGGTTTAAAGACATCATTTTGACATTTCTGCTATGTGTGCATTCACTACTGTACCTCCGTAGTGGTTTTCACTGGTAACTGTTTCTATAGTCTAGAATGGCTCCAAATTAGCATAATCATAACTTATCGTGAAGTATTAAACTGCATCAGTCACCTCAGTTAAAAATACAACTTCAGCAATATTAACTTCACAAATTATAGATTGAATTCTATTCTGAATGAATAGTAATCACGACATTTGACACAAACAAAAGCATTCTTTATGTCATGAAAACTGTTCTGCTTATGAAACCTTCAAAGATTTAATCCTTTGCTTAATATTTTTAGTATTTTGAGAAGTATACTAAAGAACTTACCATCTTTTGTACCTAAAAAAGTTTTCAAGCTTTCATTTACCAGAGGTGCTTTGTTCTGTCAAAAAACAAAACACAAACACAAAATTAACATCATCTTTGTGCTAGCAAGAAATTGAAAACCACAACAAGTTGGCATTTTGGTGTACGCTGTTCCACAATGATGCCTGGCACATGCAAGTCACATCTTTAAAGTCTAGCTTTGTATTAATTCTACTACCTACAAATAAAAGCTGCAGAGCCATACGTTCATTTAGGCACATTAAAATTGTCTTAATATTTCTGTTATAAAAGATACAGAACTGTAATAATTTCACCAAAATTCTTAATAGTGGACTGACCTTTATTTATTTAATGATTAAAAAGGTAAGTTAAGAAGTTAACTTCCCAGACTGCTCCTCTAATATAGTGCCAACTTTAAGGAAATTCAGTCCCACCTTTTTAAAAAAAAAAATGAGAATTTACAAATCATCTTGACAAAGTTTGGACCATGCTAATTAGTGGCTCACAAATCAATACTCATCTATTAATTAAATGATCTTCAAAGATATTATGAGAATGTTTTTCCTCCCTTGTTAAATTTGTCACCTTCAGCTTTGATTTTTAAACAGAGATAAATCAATGCGGGTTGTCAAAATTGTTTAGGGATATTTCAAACCAAATTCTAAATGCCATTCCTAATGTATCAAAATATCCTGGGTAAGAACCTAACTCTAAGAAAAACAGATCTGTTATAGGTATTTATTACTATAGCCATAAATACTAACACACACAAGAAAGCGCTGTGCAAAAAAAAGTAAGAAAAAATCTCCTGCTTAATTAAAATATGACACATCTCAGCCTTTCAAAAAAAGGGTGAGCCTAGATCGACTGCAGCACAATCTCTCTTCAGCACCATTATTCTCCAGGTAGTCTGAGATTGTTCTCTGGGTACTCCACAGTATGCTGAAGTTTCCCGTAAGAGATGGCACTGCTCTGCTATTATCAATCTTCCACTGTCTTCTTCAGCAATCTTAGGTTAGATATCTGGAATAGGGAATCTCATACCATAGAATAACTACTTCCCATCCTTACTAATGTTACAGTGATATCTGTTTCAGCTGTGCAATTTTCCAGCAAGAGTTCAACCATCTAATCAGTAGATGATAGGTCAGTTTTCTATTCCTCTTTAAACAGAGCCTGGATGTAAAACACCCTCTCCTTCTCTAGCTCTAGAGAATGGAAAGACACAGGAAACAAGGTAATGCTAGCAGTAAAAAGGGTCACGAAACTAGCATCTGCATACCTCAGCAGTATTGTTACTTAATCACACTAGTATCACATATCCTTACCATTATTATATTGTCAAGGTATTAGTACATAGCCCATCTCTTTATTCAGAATTTTTCCTTAAATATAGGCAAATTATCCTGAAGTAAGACTACAACATCCTTATGAGAAATACCAAAAGCATTACCATACTTGGCAAGCTACTGAATTAAACTGCTTTCACAATACAATTGTTAAAAAAAACCCCAACAAAATAAAACCCTACACTGTAATATTTTCAATTTCAAAAGACATTAATCTGGTTTCGTAAGATCTTGATCAGTCAACTAGATATCTTTTTTTAAAGAAGTATTTGATAGAAAAGATATTTAGTTATTCTGATCAACTGGACATAAGCAATATAAAACCAACAGAGACAGTTACTTAAAGCTACAGTTTCAAAGGGCTACATAACAATTCCTATTTCTAAACATCAGAAAACTCTTGACAGTCCTGTTTTGTGCTCTTTAAGCATCCTGCTCTTACATAGCAATAAATGATTTTCTCTTGTTACATTTCACAAACAAAGTATTAAAGTTATTGTGTTTAATTCTACACGAAGAACTGTCAAAATGCTGGTGTTTTAATTTATTTTTAAGGCCCTCTTACCTCCACTTTCTCTTGTTCTTCTAGTGCCAAAAAAACAGCTGCTCGCAACTCTGCCTGCCAAATAAAAAATAAAATAAACTGCATTTCTACAAGCACTGTTTTCCCTATGCAAATAGAATGCAAAGAGCCAGCAAGTAGCTTAACAGCTATTTGTTTCTCCTCGAGCAATCTGGCATTGCTTGTAATACATATCAGAGCAATTAAAACACTTAAGATTACAGACAGTGTGACCTGAGGCTGGGAAAGAAGTTTTCAGTATGAGAACAAGGGGTTAGTGGGAGGGGTGTTCGATGAAAGACTTCCTAAATTATTTCTTCATACACACACACACACACAAAAAAAAAAATCTATATTACCTACATTATTTCCTACTAATTTCTTCTGAGAGTTAAAAATCCAGCTCTTTCAGACAGCTCTGAAGCATCTACCCTTCATTTACAGTTTGTTCAGGAAACATGAACAAATAGCTTATGATAATACATTTTTTAAAGTTAATGTTAAGATACACAAATTCCTGCAATTTCTTGTCAGACCACACTCAAAGAAACTGAATTTCTCAAGGAAAAGAAAGCACGATTCCAGTCAAATACTCTTGTAGTGAGGTTTTACCTAACTGATTTTTAGTATCTTAATATTAAGGATCAGAATTCTTCTAAGAACTATTTTGAATATTTAAGCTTAAGCCTGGACTATTTTTTTTAATATTTTTTAACACTACAGTTTCACTACTTCTTTCATTGAACATATCAAATGAACAACACACATTACATTTGATGAAGTAGTTTACCACTTTAATCAACTCTTAATCTGACATTTTGAAGTAGCCAGTAGATAACACTGCTGTGATGAAGTAGAAAAGGCAAGTGCTACTTTCTATGACAGGTTTCTCAGGAGCAAAGAAGAAAGAAAGCTTTTAAAGAAAGATTAATTTCCATAACTAAGAACAAGAAAAGTATAAAGAGTGTCTTGATTTTCTCACATATATTACAAAAGGTAACTAAACATAGATTACTGTGTGACTGTTACCACCCACAAAAAAAAAAACCAAAAACAAAAAAAAAAAACCACACAACAAAACAAACAAAAAAACCCAAAACACCTTTTCAAAGAATAAAAAGTAATAGGAAGTCTTTTTAACTTTCTTGCACCAGAAGCGTAAAATACTTACCACAATTTGTATGCAATGGTCATACGAACACTCTTATGTTTTCTTCAGGTGCTGGGGTACAGTATTCCATCAGCAAATCCTCTTACAACCCGTTAATTAAAATATTATCTTACGAAATCCGTTTACATAAAGCTTTCCAACCAACAGCTAACAACTTCATTACTTAGTCTTATGTCAGTATGAAAAGTTTTAGATAGTTGCAATGCTCACACCTTTCCACTGATGCCACCGAAACCAAGTATACTTACATAAAAGGATAAGAATAACAACAAAGCATTTGTGAAACAGACTGGCTATTACAACTGTTCAAAATAAAAGACAACAGCCATTACATGTGGGCAGGGGTAAACCTCCTTAAGGTCTGGATCATGAGACCATAGAACAAAGTTGACTGAAAGTGGTTGTCATTACATCAGCCGATCCAGAGTCTGACCTGTTTGAGATAGAGGAACAGTATCATAATTGTCATTCCTTTTCACATAACTGTGACTATTTGCCTGTTCCACTCCTCTAAGTCCAACCCAGCAGCTTTTAAATACAGATTGAGGTGCTTTTCTTCCACTTCTCATTATTTAATGACATGGTGTCAGTTTCTCCCAGCTGTTGCCATTCTCCAGAATAGCAGGATCAAATTCATACATGGGTATGTATCATGTCCATGGAGTTCTCTTTTATTGAGGCATTTGTCTTTTATTGTGCTAGAACGCACTTGTCCAGCACTTAAACAGGACAGCTTATTGTCCTAGGACAAAACTCGAGACAGCATTTTCCAATAGGAAAGCACTTGGGGACATGGGAAACTCATTTCTGCACCCCAAAGCATGTATATGCATCAGTGACCAAGATGACATCTTGTAACAGGCACTAAGCACAAACTGTGGATAGCTTCTGCTTAGTGCCCACTGGTTTCCTTTGCATAGCTATACAATTCACTTGTAAACATCCCAATATCCTAATACCTTCCAAAGACATCTCCGTAAAATTTTTCCTACCACACTTTAATCATATCTTCTATCCTGAAGCAGTATTTTAGATGAACAAGCAACGGCTTCACACCACTGATCTCAACATGCTATGGAATACTAGATCAAAAAGTGGGTCACTTTAATTTCATAAAATGCTTTGCACACATACAGTTGAGTATAACATTGTGTGCTAGTTGACAAAGCCTTGCTGTCCGTTTCATGCATCTCTCAACATAATTTCTACAAACCCTTAGAGTCCTGCAACTTTTACATAGGAAACCCTTGATTTTCCACCCCCCACCCGCCCATCAAAGACCCATTAGCAGAAAACAACAAATTTCAGCTTGCCAAATGCACATGCTGCCACCCTTCTTAATCCACTTAAGGAGATGAACACAGTTTTTGAAGCCACGTTCATGCAACTTTCTGCATTCTCCAACAAGTAAGGGGTAGGCAAGTTCAGCAAGTGTTAATAAGGGAGACATTCACTTCACAGATCTGCAAGGGGCCTAGCTGGAGATGCAAAACTCTCCTGCAAGCTTGCATTCACTTCCATTGTTACAAACACATGCAGCACTGTGGTTAAATATATGTTTAGGGCAGGAAATTATTCAAGTAAAGCATAAGATTTTGCAGGGTAAAAGAATGTATCAATGCTGAGATAAACGGTTTACAGACATTCCAGGCAAAGCACAGGCATGTATAACTGCCATCTGCTCCAGTGCTATGAAAGAACCCTACGCAGCCACAAGTATCTCCTGCATATGTAAAGTTTGCTGGCACATGGACACATGATTGCACAATTTTCAGGATCTCTACTTCCTATACTCCACAATGACTGCCATATACCTCCGTAGATAGAGAGCAAGACTGGCAGAGCATTAAGGAGTTTAACCATTGGTGACCACCCCAGGCCAAAACCCTGTGTGCATCAGGCTAAAAGCCCATATCAGCTTATATGCACCACAAGTCCAAAGTTTGTGCCAAACTGTGAACAGCAACTTCACTACCAGTGTTATTCAGTACCCTCCCTGTCACTCTCCATCTGCAGTCAGTGGGGTTTTCATCCTTGAGCATGTGGCAGTGTGCTCCTCCCTCCCTGCTTAAGCCCTAACCACCAAAACAAAAAGGAACACAGCAAGTAGTAGCATCATGGTGGTTCTTGCTCTGATGAAAACAGCCTCCCTAGGAAAAAGAAAGATCATATTCTCCTCAGAACAGAAGGGCATTTCTATTTCTACAGCACGCATCACACAGCATCAGTGATAATTTTCACTAAAGTACAAGCATCCACAGTTCTATTCTGTATGTTTACAGAATTTATTGGGAAGCAGTCTTATCCATCAGATTAATTCCAGTGATTAACAAATTACGTATATATATATACACAAACTACAGCTCAAAGACAGGAAATTCTCAACTGCAAGTGGCAAATATTTACAGATCTAGTTTTCACAATACGACTTCATTAAGTATTCCATTGCTCAAAGTCTAAGGTAAGTAGAAATTACCTCAAATAAGAATAAACTAATAAACTGCAACGTATGATAAAATCAGGTTGTGTTAGAGAACAAAGGCATCAACCTTAAGTTTCTTTCTAAAAATCACACAGTCATTAAGTTACAAAATATATTAGCTGACAGTGATACATTCTAGTTACCAAAATAATTCCTTTTGAATTCTAATCCTCCCCAGCTGTCTTTACCTATAGTGTCTCATACTAATTCAGTTATATATTGACCATATGTCTCTTTAATGTATTTACTTCAATAAATCTCAAATACATTATTATAGTTAGCTTTCTAACCTCATCCATCTTGAAATAAAATGGTCAGTTCTCATTCTGAAGTACAAGATAAACAACTGCCTTGATAACATGTAAGCATTCCTTCAGTTCTATCACATAATTAAAAAAAACTGGTGCAATAGATAACTGCTGTTGATCACAACTGTGTTTCATTTATTTTAATGAATGGATGATTACAGTTTTGTTTGTTTGTTTTTAATGCATGGTATCTAATTTCAGTTAAAAGCTGACAGTTTAAGAAGACTTGTTCAACCTTAATTCTTTTGGAGGACAATGGACTTTTTGCAAAGTACCAGCAGAACAAATTCTATCAAGCAACAGTCAAACTCACATGCCAATTAACGTTTACTGGTAAGAAAAAACACCATGAATTCCTCAATTGAACAGCCACAACCATAAGCAAACCAGTTATTAAACAGTAATTTCTAGGATTAAAGAAGAGATGGCCTGGGGTAGTCACCAGTGGTTAAACTCCTTAATGTTCTGCCAGACTTGCTCAGTATCTACTGAGGTATATGACAGTCATTGTGGAGTACAGGAAGTAGAGATGCTGCAAGTTGTGCAGGCACGTAAGAGAGATAACCTGGTAAGTAGGATGCAGCTTGTACTTTTCCAAGTCATTTGCTAGCTTGCCTTAAGGATACTTTACACCATACTGGATATTACACACTTTGATCATTACAGAATAGTGAAGACTACAAAGAATATATTTACACAAAACTCAAACTGGGAACCACAGTACAAAACCTTGCATACTACACAAATACAGGAATTAAGAAACTACAGTTCATGTGCTCAATGTGATCCAATTGGCTTGTGATTAATTTTTTAGTTATCATTGTATTATCACCATATTTTTATTGGTTAACACTATGTGAGAGATAAACAGGATCTGTATGACTCTGCTACGTACAATAACTATTACAAAAAGCTTCTAACTTGAACAAGAATTCATGGAACCAGTTTTCACATCCTTTCTGACACAAGCTCAGGCTACACCACAGGCTTGGAAGTAGCGTATGCTCCACCGTAACACTATCTTACCTATATTTTTTTAAAATGGCATTATTTGTTCCCTGTAGGCGGACAGCATCCCCCGGGAGTTTCCAGATTCAGCAAGCCTCCAAGACACAGCTCAAGTAGCTCACGCACAAGAACAATGTTTAAGCAGCAACTCTCAAGAACTCCTGCTTGGAACTTTCAATAGGGGCTTTTCGTATCGAAACAGGGAGAAACTCTACCCTGTGTGTACCCACACCACCCGGAGGCTGAATGCTTCCAGCGGGTTTGGCAGCAGCAAGAGAGCTCCTGCGGCCACACGGCATCTACGAGGGCGAAACCGCAAAGCCGGGCGCCGCGCTGCCTTGCGGCGGCCGAGACCTGCTCTCCCTCTCCCCGCCCGGGTGAACCTGCGAGCCCTGCGGCCG